GTACTTTATTGTGTTTTAATTTGTAAGAATGTCTGTGTGACCATCTATTCTATTTGAGTAACTGCTGTACCTCGCACTCTGTTCCATGGTCTCCTAGTGGATGGACACTCAAGGCCACGTGCAAATGAAAGTAATTCCCCTTCACTCAGGAAGTTACAATGTGGAGGATAAAATTGGCAGGTTCTTTGATCAGTACTGAACATGGCTCTGCAGAACTAAATGAAGTCGTGTGTGAAACTGACAAGGATATTTACAATTTATGGCAGGTGGGCAGACTTGCAAATGGCTGTGAATCAAAAATATTTGAAAAGCATTATGACTTCAGTTTCACAAATTTAAAGACCCAGAAAGAATTTTTTTAAAACTGCATACCATCCCATTTGCACAAATTGTTGCTGCCATTAACAAAAAAAAAGTATAAAATTCACATACTGGAATTACTCATTACAGTTTGCGTCACCAGCAGTGGAAGGAAATGGGATTAAATCTACCAGGACTAATCTACCAAATGGGATTAAATCTACCATCTAGTAACTCCCATTGGGATGTCATCCACAGAACAGTGTTCTCTAGCATCCCTGATATTCCCCCAACGCAGCCTTCTGGAGCGTCCAGTCACACAGAACCAGAACCATCGCAATGCTATGCCTCCAGGTCCCATATGGCTCAAGACCACCAGAAGGATGCCATGGTCAGCTAACTGCCATGGAGACATCCTGAAAAACCAGTAAGGATCCACCCACCAAGATGACTCCTGCTATTTGTGTCCCCTAAGCAGGCCTAACCCCAGACTGGAAAAGGTCTAGATAAGGAAATTCATCCCAGGGAACCTCCAAGATCTTACTCAAAAAATGGAGATTAGAAACTGACCAATCATTATCCAGATGGTGGCAGTCAATAACAATTTCTTCAGCAAGGAAGCATCGCCCTCTTCCAAGGAGGCATCAACAATCTGCACTATCCACACACCCATCCCCTTTGAGTAGAAAAGTTCTCTGAAATGTCAGTATTAATAAAGGTACCAATAAAAATGCAGAATGAAATTAACTGTTTGTGTTTCTGGCAGGAGCCGCTGTCCACTAGCCCTTGTGGCAAGCAGAGTCACTGCCAGCCCTTGCCCAGACTCCATTTGCCTTCAGGAGCAACTACTGGCTAGGAGGGAGCGCAGGAGGGCTTCCTCCTTCAGTGGCTCTTTGTCCAGCCAGGCCAGCTCTGGGGCGTCCTGTGCTTCTGGTCCTGAGCTCCAGGATAATTTGCATTTCTTAGCTTGCTCCTTTCTCCTGACTTCCAGCTTGATCCCCTGAACTCTCCTCTCCTGTGTTCTCTGATCCAGACAGCTTTCTGAACCTGGCTCCAGATTCTCCAACTCCTGGGTCTCCTGCCCATTGCCCTTGGCCTAGCCCTGACAGTGCTCTTCCACACACAAGGCTAGCAGATCCGTGGCTTGCCCAGCACATCCAAGTACAGGATTTTCTTTAAAGAAATGTGCACACCTCCCCATTGTATCCTTCCGTTTATGGCCTGCAAAGTAATGGCACCTGGATTCTCCCACCATTCATTTTCTTTGCTTAAAAATAATCAAATCTACTTCTTCAACTGGATGAGTGCTTTTGGAAATTTATTTGTCCTAATTCACTAGATTCTTGTCAGTCATCTTCAAATTTGTTCAGCATCTATTTCAATTTCCAAATTGCCCAGGTT